ACAAAAGAGACCTACTCATCAGACGTGATTACCATGATTTAGGCTTCAAGAAGGCCTGCAAGTAATAAAATCTATGATTCCACATGGAAGAATTTATGTAACTGGTGTGGGAGACAACAATTAGATCCAGCTACAATTCCTATTCCAAGAATTTTGGATTATTTACCAGAGGGACTTAAGAAGGGTTTAGCACCCAACACAATCTGCAGACAAGTTGCTGCCCTGTCCACAGTGCTCACATATGGCAACTCAGAACCCTTGGCTGAACATCTCATGATACGTTCCTTTGTCAGGGGAGCAATCAACAGCAAACAGCCCGTGGTTCACAGATATCCCTCTTGGGACCTGTCCAAGGTCTTACAGGCTCTCACTTCATCTCCATTTGAGCCCGTCAGAACCCCCACTCTACGATTGTGGACACTCAAGGCCGCCTTCCTAGTAGCCGTTACATCGGCTGGGCGCATCTTGGAATTGGCAGCACTCTCCATTAGAGATGATTTACGTATTTTTCTACGCTTAGACCCCTCCTTCATCGCCAAAATCAACTCATCGTTTCACAGGGCGCAGGAGCTTGTGCTGCCAGATTTTTGCCCTGAGCCGTCCCACGATTTGGAACGTAAACGGCACATCTTGGACGTTCGCAGAGCCTTGCGCCGGTATATTAAGCAAACTGTCCCTTTTCGGAACCCTGAAGCCCTCTTCGTTCCAAGATGACTCACTGCACACTCCACTCGCAGTGTGGCAATTTCGGCGGCGGCGGCAACATAAGCGTCCATCAAAGAGATCTTGCAAGGCAGCAACGTGGTTATCGCCTTCCCCATTTGTGAGGCATTATAAGTTAGATGAGTTTGCTTCAGCAGACGCTTCATTTGGCAGGAGACTCCTCCAAAGGGCAGTAACAAATAGTGGGATACAGGCCCAGACCTCTTCCCGCCCGTGGGAGCAGTGAGGCTTTGGTATGTCTCATCTGTGGATCCTCCATTCGTCATGCTGGAGAAGGGCCGTTGCTTTACCTGAACGCCTTTTCTCAGCATGACGATGGAGAATCCACTCCTCCCCCCCCCAAGGTCCCATCCGGTACTGTGTCAGGGGAATTTGAGCCACCACCAGCTTGGAAGATCATCAACTGCTGCGCTTTTGTGGTGACTAGGGATTCCTAGCCGGAGGAAGAGAGTCATGGCAAAGGTTGATTGACGTAGTCTCGAGGGCAGAAAGGCAAGATCAACCCATCTGTGGATTCTCTGTCGTCATGCTGAGAAAAGGCGTTCAGGTAAGACGACGCCCCTTATGATGATGGTTGCAAATGTTTGGGTGTATCCACGTAGAGCAGACAGCCCTGGTGAGGTTCCCTAGTTGGGTCATGAAATGGTCTGGAAGAAATAACCAAGATTAGAGAGCAACAAGGACCCTTGCTCTTCCTCCTCTTCACAAACCTCACTGATTATGTTACCTAGTTGGGTCATGAAACGTCTGCAAGAAAACCACCAAGTTCAGAGAGCAGCAAGGGCCCCACAGTCCTTCTCCTTCTCTCCACAAACCCCACTCCCTCCTAGCACTGATGATGTTACCTAGTTGGGTCATGAAACGTCTGCACTAAAACCACAAAGTTCAGAGAGCACCAAGGGCCCCACAGTCGTCGTCCTCACGACTAACACAGCATCCCTGTGGTCACGTGATCCCCTTTTACTAACTGGCATTCAACAACTAAAGTCAATGGGGCCCCAGTGATTCCCTTAACAAGCATGGCAAGGAAGGTCCTCACTTAACAACCTCTAAGATTAATAATGGAAATTCTGGTCATAAATCGAGGACTACCTGTCCTGGTTTGGTTTGGCTGGGCTTTTTTTCCTCCCATTCTGGACAGGGACTGTTTTAACCCCCATCCGCCCTCCGTCTCCCTGTAGCGTTTTGGGCCGAGAGGACCCTGGTTCACGAAGCTGCCTGAAGCGGGGAGATCCATCTGCTGCAAGAACTGATCCGGAACGGCACCTGCGTCAACCTGGTCACCTACGACTCGATTACCTCCCTGCACAAAGCCAGTCTGCGTGGCCAGACGCGGTATTTGGAGATTCTTCTGGCCGCCGGAGTCCAGGTGCGAGGGGAGGGCGCCGGGTTGCAAAAGGCTGCAGACTAAAACATCTGGGGAAAGAATGCCAGCAAAGCTTTATTTTGCTCCAGATTCCCCCGGGATTCGGGGTGCAAGTTTTCAGATTTGCCCCCCCCCCAAGACGGACAGTTAGATGAGGACAGAAGCCGAATCTCATTGCCTTCCTTTGCATAGTTTATTTTATTTTTCTGTGATTTTATTTCTGTTTTGGTTTACGCTCTTTTCATTTCTTCCCCTTTTTGGTTGTAAGCTGCCTTGAGTAGTCCCACAGTGAGATAGGCCACAAATAAATTGATGATGATGATGATGATGATGATGATAAAACAACCACCCATCAAACGTCCAAATCTGCCTATCCCAGGTCTTTGCTAAGGACTCAGTAGGTAGACAAAAATGCTACACCCAGTCAGAACATCTGGCTGACTGTGTGAATAATAATAATTCTACTCTACTCTACTCTACTCTACTCTACTCTACTCTATTCTTTCCATATATTCTAATCTATTCCCTGTTTTCTATCCTGTTCTGTTTTCTATTCTATTCTATTATTCTTTTTTTAAAAAAAAACAAACGGCTGAATTCCATAGGTAGGTTAACCAACACAAGTACCAGGTTGAGTGTCTGATCCCTTTGATTCCTGGTGGTAGTTAGAACACAGTAATCCTCAAGGTTCCACAGTTCATTTAGTACACCGGCATTGAAAAAAGTGACTTATGACCATTTTTCACACTTGACTGTTGCAGCCCCCCCAGGGTCATGTGATCAAAATTCAGACACTTGGCAATTGACTCACATTTATGACTGTTGCAGTGTCCCAGACTCATGTGATCCTTTTTTACGACTTTCTGACAAGCAAAGTCCATGGGAAAGCTGGATTCACTTAACTGTGTTACTAACTTAACTGCAGTGATTCACTTAACAACGGTAGGGATCAAGGTCGTAATACGGGGCAAAACTCACAAGTCTCTCACTTAGCAGTGGAAATTTTAGGCTCAATTGTGGTCTTAAGCTGAGGACTTGCCTGTACCAAGTGCGAATCCTGTTAAAAAATGGCTGAATCCTAGGTAGGTTCACCAAGAGAGGCACCAGGCTGAGGGTTGGATCCCTTTCTGCCACAGGTGGATCCCCGGAACATCGATGGGAGTACCCCGCTCTGCGACGCCTGTGCCTCGGGAAGCATTGACTGTGTGAAAGTCCTCCTGTCCCACGGGGCCAAAGTCAACCCGCCCTTGTATATAGCGTCACCTCTCCACGAAGCTTGCTTAAACGGTAAGGTGGCTTCTGCAGGGTTGATGGAGATCCCGGGGCCAGCCCTGGGAGACTTGGGGGGGGGGGTTCTGCTCAACCAGAATCCAGGAGAAGAGCTGCCAAGTATTCCAGATTCCATTCGGATTGCGGTTTCCTGCCTGCACCCTGCATTTGCCTTTCTGCGCCTCCATGTCTGGCCCAATGAAATGCAGGAGTTAGGGATATGGCGATTTGTTTATTTACGGTGCAAAACCGAGTCACAAAAATTTAAAATACAGCACACTGTTAATACATACTTAGGTGGCTATGTCTAGATCTCTCTGTCTGTCTCTCTCTCTCCCTTTCAATCTTGTCTATTTATCCATCCCTCTTTCCATCCACTCCATCCATCCATCCTGTCTATCCGTCTTTGTCTATTTACCTACCTATCTGTCCATATATGCATACATCTGTGTATTCATCCATTGTCTATCTCTCTCTCTCTCATCTATCGATCCACCTAGTCTGTCTGCCTGCCTATCCTTCCATCATCTGTCTGTCTCTGTCTGTCTGTCTGTCTGTCTGTCTGTCTGTCTGTCTATCTATCTATCTATCTATCTATCTATCAACTCTAAACAGCTAGTCCTCCCTTAATGACTACAATTGGGCCCAGAATTTTGATCGTAAGCCATTGCAGTGGTTAAGCGGCTCACGTCAAAGGACCTGACTTGATTTTTGTAACTGTTTCTAAGATGGTTGTAAAGTGACTCACCACAGTCACTAAGTGGATCATGTTCTTCTGAATAACAGGGTTGGTTGTTAAGCGAATCCATTCTCTTGAATGCTGGAAACCCCACAAAAACTGTTAGAAACAGGCAAGAAACATTGCAGTCATGTGACCACAGGGCATTGCATCCGGTTGCAAATGCTTTCTGTGTGTGTGTGTGTAGATGTAACCTTGAGGATGGGCCTTAAGTAATTTTTTTTAGGTGCTCATAATTTCAAACCATCATTTAGTGAGGACTACATTAATCCATTGAAGGCACCAATGCCTTTTCTATAAGCTAAGGCTACAAAAAAAAATAGAATAACTACTTCAAAACACCTGGGTAGCAAACCTGTGCTAAGAATACAGGTGTTCCTCAACTTACGACAGATTGTTTAGCGACCGCTCAAAGTCAACGGCAGTGAAAAAAATGACTTACGACTATTTTTCACACTTACGACTGGCTTCCCCATTGACTCAGAAGGTCTCAAGAGGGGATCACACCACCCCAGAATGTTGCAACCGTCGTAAATATGAACCGGTTGCCAAGCATCCGAATTTTGATCGTGGGACTCTGGGGAGGCTGCCGTAGTTGTAAGTGTGAAAAAGATCGTCATAAATCCCTTTTTTTCGGCGTCGTGGTAGCTTAAAACGGTCGCTCAATGAACCGTCATAAGTCAAGGACAACGTGTAATCCCATTAAGAGTTTTAGGCAATTAAACCACAACAGCCCCAGGAATCTGTTCTTAACCTGAACCGGAGAGGACAGACTTCCGGGAAGTTGGCGTGAAATCAGCTTTAGCTGTCTCTCTTTGGAATGAGCGGGGGATCCACGCCAGCGTTCAATGAATGTTCTTCCTTGATCTGACTCTTCTCTAAGGCAGCGCGGAGTGCGTCTGTCTTCTGATTGAGGTCGGCGCGAACCTGGAGGCCCACGACTGCCATTTTGGAACGCCTCTGCACGTGGCGTGTGCACGAGAACACCTGGTTTGCGTGAAGTTATTGCTGAACGCAGGTGTGGTGCTGTGGGGTCCCCAAGGAATGAGGGAGAAGTAATAATAATAATAATAATAATAGTAATAAAAAATTGGAAGGGACCTTTGAGATCATCTAGTCCAACGCCCTGCTCAGGCAGGAAACCCTATACTATTTCAGAGAAATGGCTGTTCAGTCTCTTCTTAAAAACTTCCAGTGTTGGAGCATTCACCGCTTCTGGAGGCAAGTTGTTCCGTTGGTTAATTGTTCTCGTCAGGAAGTTTCTCCTTAGTTCCAGAATGCTTCTCTCCTTGATTAGTTTCCATCTGTTGCTTCTTGTCCTGCCTTCAGGTGCTTTGGAGAGTAGCTTGACTGCTTCTTCTTTGCGGCAGCCCCTGAGATTTTGCAACACTGCTATCATGTACCCCCTCGTCCTTCTCTTAACTAAACTAGAGTAGACATATCCAATTCCAGCAACCGTTCCTTATATGTTTTAGCCTCCAGAAGTACTGGATTAATTCCACGCTACCCAACCAGATTCGGGAACCCCCAACCTGGTCTTCCAAGGTTTATTCTGCCTTACAGGATATGGATTGTTTATGAAGATTGAATGTAGTTAAGACATGTATAAACTAAAAATGTACTGATAAATGTAATAATGATTTTATTGAGTTAATATAATTAGAAATGCACTAGTTTGAATACGACACAGTAAATGTTAAGGGAAAAAGAGAAGAAATATCTGATGTTGTAACCTGAGATTTGCACTAAAGATTTTGTTACGGAACTATTGATTAACCCAGTCCCCACTCAAATGTAAAATTGGAAAATTAGTAAAATATTATATATATAAAAAAAGGTTTATCCTGCCATAGTCTAAATGAGCATTGAGTCTAATCAGCAAGCCTTTTCCTTACATACAAGTAGTCCTCTACTTACGACCGCAATCGGGGCTGTAAAATTTGTCCTTCAGCAATGCAGTCATTAAGCGACCTATCCTGTCCCCGACACACTTAACAGCTGTGCCAAAAAGGTCGTAAAATGGGACACAACTCACTTAAACTGTTTTGTTTACCAACAGAAATTTAGTCTTCCATTATGGCCGTAATTTAAGGACTACCTGTGTGTGGCCGCTAAAAATCTCCACTGAATTGATGATAATCTCTGACTTTCTCAATTTCCATCCCGGCCTGCAGGAGCCAACGTGAACACAGCCAAACTTCACGAGACGGCCCTTCACCACGCCGCCAAAGTTCGAAATGCTGACTTGGCGGAGATGCTGATCGAATTCGGAGGAAACGTTTACGCCCGGGACAACCGAGGGAAAAAACCCTCCGACTACAGTCAGAGCAACAGCTCGGCAAAGTGTTTTGCATATTACGAAAGTGAGTCAATTTTGCCAGGAAAACGTGTTGTCTGTCTTCTACCTGTCTCATACAGGTGCGCGAGAGCGAAGGTTCGTTCTCCGAGCTTCTCTGAACGTTTCGTGACAAGGCTACATCACATTCTTCAGCGGAGTTTTGGTGCTGTCAGTGTCGCTGTTCTGTTGATAAGGGCTCCAGGCGTGGGTGGGTCCAGTGAGGGTCTTGTGATGGGTCAGGTGTGAGTCATCAGTGATGTTGTGATTCCTCGCCAGCCCATGGATCCGGCAGCTGAGTCTGAGGAATCAGAGGAGGAGGAGGAGGGGCCTGGAGTGACATCAGAGTCAGAGGAAGGCTCTGAGGAGCTCCAAGACTTACAGTCAGACGAGGAGCTTGGGCCCTCTACTCCCGCTCAGATTGAGACACAGCTGTGCTTGAAGGCTGAGTTGGACAGTGATGAAGAACAGCTGGGACAAATCCTGGATGCACCAATGTGCACAAAAGAGAAGCAAGTAGGACAGAGGAATGCAATGGGGCGGCTCCAAAGGCAAAGGAGAAGGCATTAGGAAAGCCAAGCTTTGGCTGCATAATAAAAAGGAAGGTGTGGGAGGTGCTGGGTGGCCGAAGACAATCGTTCATCTTTAGGATCGAGTTTCTATGAAGTGTGTTTGTTTGCCTTGGACGCTGTCTCAGGTCTGTGAGAATAAAAGGGGTTGGTTTTTTCCTGCAGTTCCAGCCTGCATGATTGGAAGAGGGGTTTCGCCTTTTGAGCATAACAAGGATTCACATGGGCTGAGACAGAACAAGTGAGAGGCTGGTGATGGGTCTTCTGATGGGGAGGTTACATCAGGTCAGGATCCTTGGGAAGTGAACTGCCGGTAGCGGGGGATTGCGCGGGATGGTTGAGGGTCAATGCCGCCCCTGGTTGGCTGTGCGATTGATTTGGATTCTGAGGGATGCGAAGGCTGGTTGTAGGTCAATGTGTCTATGGATAGAATATAGAGAATAGAACAGAATAGAGAATAGAATAGAGCAGAATAGAATAGAGAAGAGAAGAGAATTGTAGAACAGAAGAGAGAATAGAATAGAATTACAGAATGGAATGAAATGGAATAAGCAGAGTTGAAAGGAACCTTGGGGGTCTTCTACCCCCTTTATTT